AGCTATTGATACAAACAACAACTTGGACAGATCTCAAGGGCATTGTAATGAGTGGATTAAAAACTTTGAAATGTCACATACTGTACAATTACATTTTAATAATATTCTTTAAATGGAAAAATATGGAGATTCAGAATAGATTAATGATTGCTAGAGGTTAAGGATGGTGGAACAAGGAGTGTTTGTGTCTAGAAAGTTGTAGCACAAAGGAGATCATTGCAGTGATAGACTACATCTGTATCTTGATTGCAGTACTGTGATAAAATAGCATAGAACTATATGCACATTTTGAACTAATGTCAGTTTCCTAATTTTGAAACTGTGGAAGTTATAGAAGATGTAAGCATGGGGGGAAACTGTGTAAAAGGTGCAGAAGATTTCTTTTTACTATTCCCGCAATTCCCTGTAAATATGTATTCAAAATGAAAGTTTTTAAGATGATGATAAAAGTTACAATTCACCAAAAATTTGTAAAAGTGTGAGGATTTAATAAAATAACCTCAAAAATATGAAGAAAAAAAATCTTATGGAGCTATGAAAGAAAGGAGTAAATCAGCAATCACATCAGAGAATTCAACATGCTTCTCTAAAGTAAAAGGCAAAGAGAACAAATTAGTTAAGATATCAAATAGTAAACAATGCAATCAACAAGTTGATTTAGTATGTATACAGAATCTTGCACCCAATAATGATTATATGCTTTTTTCCAACCATATGATGAACATTTATAATAATCATATTGTTGGCCCTAAAGCCAACAAATTTCAAAAAGTTAACGTTATTAACAAGTTTCAAATAGTCAATATCATAAAGAGCACATTATTTGGTCAAAATGCAATTAGGAAAACAACAAATAACAAAATAACATTTTAAAAGCCCATCTGTTTGGAAATTTTTGAATAGACTTTTTAATGATTCATGGGTTAAAAAAAGATGTAACAAATTTTGAAATATTGAAAACTTAACAATTAAAATAACAAATATTGAAATGTGTGGGATTCAGTAAAAACAATATTTCAGGAGAAATTTATAGCCTTAATTGTTTATGTTATATGAAGTGTCCAGTTTAGGCAACACTGGCCCAGAAGTCATTGACATTACTTTTACTTATAGCACCTTATCCAGTTTGTGTCATAAGGCCCCAATCTAACTACAAGGCAGGCTGAGAAAGTAAGTAATTACAAAGATTATTTGTTAACTATTAGCTGTCCCTGCCATACCATACTAATTAAAGTAATATGGAAAAGATAAATAGGCTTAAAGTCATATTTACATAAATGTAGAAAATTAACATAATATATAATTGGAACCAAAACTCAATGGAGTGTTCAGCATATGATATTGGAAAGAGTATCCAAAGAAAAATAAAACTAGACCCCTCCCTAACATCAAGTATAAATTTGGACTCCAGAGAATGAAAGATCTTAATACGAAAGCTAAAATTACAAAGTTAATAGAAAATAACATAGGAAAATATCTTTATAGCCTAGAATTAGATAGCAATTCCTTAAACAAAACCTCAGAAGTAGAAGACTGGAATTATAACTCTGTGGTAGCACACCTGCATAGCATACACTAGGCCCTGGGTGTGTGATCAGTATCACCACAAAGAAAAATTAGAAGTAGATTCTATGAGTCAAAAGATTTGATTGTGTAAAAATGAGAATTTCCATTCAATAAAGAATACCATGAACAAAGTTAACAAGTGACAGAATAAAGATACTTGCAATGTCTTTAACAAAGGATTAAAAACTAACATATGCAAAGTACACCTGAAAATCCAAAAGAAAGGACAGGAATACATACACTGCCCTAAATTGATAAAATATATGAAAACTGTATTTGAAGAAGAGAAAACAAAAATGCTTAGAAATACATGAAGAGGAGCCAGGTGTTATGCTGCATGCCTGTAATCCTAGCAAATTGGGAAACTGAGGCAGAATGAGGCTCACAAGTTCAAGGCCAGCCTCAGCAGTTAGTGAGATCCTGTCTCAAAGTAAGAGTGTCTGGGAGGGTTGGGGATGTAGCTTAGTGGTAGAGCACCCCTGGGTTCAATCCCCAGTCCCACAAATACACACACACACAAACACACACACACAAACATACATGAAGAAATGTTGAAATTATTATTCATCAGATAATTGCTAATTAAAATGTAATCCATTTATAAATTGAAAGCTGGGTCATATCAAGATTATTGGTGGTGCAGAGTTAAAGGAACAGAGCTGATTAAATTAGACTGGATCTGCTATTCCAAAGAGCAATCTTGCAGTACTTAAATTAATTATACATATACCCTGTGGCCCATCAATCACATTTCTTATACATATGCATTCCAGAACACTTCACACATAGGTCCATAAGGAGATATGGATGAGGAAGTTCATTACAGTGTTTGAGGTAATAGGGAATTGGAAGCAGTCTAGATTCCATTTCCAGGAAAATGAAGAAGTAAATTAAGGAGGATGAACACTGTAGTACATTATTCAACAGTAGAAACTAGACTACACAAAGTAACAGATGGATCTTTTAAAAAATACTACTGAGTGGGAAAATAACTAGAATGAGATCCACAGCACTATATTACTACATAAATTCATGCACACAAAATAACTTTTTAAAAGAAATCAAACAAACAAAAATACACAATAAACATATTAGAACTGTTGCCTCTGAGGAGGAGGATGGAAGTGAAGAATGTATATATATATGGAAATAAAGTATTAAATGAATAAATAGAGAAAACAGTGAAAGAATTTTGATTAGACCAATGAAGATAGTATGCTAATGAAGGGGGAAAATGGTTAGTGTAATTCTCATCTCCTAAATTCCAAAAACAAAAAAAGAAGGGAGGGAAGGAAGGAAGGAAGGAAGGAAGGAAGGAAGGAAGGAAGGAAGGAAGGAAATCCATTAACGTTGTAACATAAAAATCTAAATTGTTATAACAAAAGACTCAAAAATGGTATGGCTATTTAAATATATATATATATATATATATGATTACCACAGTCTGAAGTTATTGTTCCAGGCCATCAGGGAGGTTCATTTCACCTGTGGCTCCCTCCTCTTTTAGGTCCTCAAAGTTCTCTCCATTCAACCAATGCATTAGAGAAGAGACAGCACAAATTACGCATAGGAAAGTTGAATGAGTGAATCTGTAGAATACAGCATTTCTGGCCCAATACACTGGCCAGAACTCAGTCTCATTCATGCATCCAATAATAAGAGACATTGTGTACACTATAATCTACCTGGTTTCCCAGGAGAAAGCAGAGAACATGGATATTAGGGAAAAGTAACAGTCTGTGCCACAACATACAAGAGCTTTGTGGAGGGAATTATAAAATGTTATGCAAAGACATCTTCCAGGATTTCAGTGCCCAGTATCCTCACTGGACAATAGTTTTCACCCTTATTTGCCATTTTTGGGGCTATCCTGATCACCCTCCATTCTCAATACCCATGGTCAGTATTGTCTTCCATTTCCCCTACAACCATGTAAATCCACCAAAATATAAGGAAAGAGAGGCAGACAGGGATGAATGCTAGAGAATGGGCAAGATGTCAGCATAGAAGCAGAGAAAAAATATGAGATTTGTACATATTCCTCATTTTGGGGGTACTGTTGCAGCCTTACAAAACAAGCATCATCATGTAATCATTTTTACAATTATAAAAAAACAATGAAGTTATTTTCATTTCAAAAATTGAGAAGGGATCAATTTTGGGGAAAACTATCATAAAAAATTTTCAACTTAAAAGAGAGGTTTTACTTTATGCAATTGCCTTAATCTAAGTTTCACTAATATGTTGATTTTCTATGTGTCTTATAAGCAGGGTACTGTAGCACAAGCCTGCAATCCCAGCAACTCAGGAGGCTGAGGCAAGAAAATTGAAAGTTCAAAGCAAGTCTTAGCAATTTAGTGAGGCCCTAAGCAAATTAGCAAGACTCTGTCTCAAAATTAAACATAAAAATGCCTGGGGATATGGATCAATGATTGAGTACCCCTGGGTTCAATCCCTAGTACCAGAAAAAAAAAAGAAAAGAGAAAAAATATTTTATAAACATGCTCAGTTTAGGTATTTGCTTTTTTAGATTGCATCCTTTTGAAAAATGAGATTCAACTCTGGGCAAAAGGAAGAACTTTGAGACCAAAGGAGCCACAGGCATGAGGGATGCAGGGATGATCAATCCTTCCCGTCGTATCAAAGGGAGGGGAAGGTGTGCTGTTTCTCTCCTCTCTCCTATGTCGCAGATCCTCTCATCCACTACATTCATGAACCTGAGGATTGCTTACTCCAAAAATGTTTATGGGCAGGTGACCAAGGTGGTGACCTGAGTAAATTCCTTTAGTTCCTCTCTCTCTCCCCCAAATTCCCTCACAGGTTCTTTGCCCCAGTAGAGTGGGGAGCACTATTCCTGCCATGGATACCAGAACAGATCCCTACATGAAGTCTGGAGAAGTAACTGATGAGGATAGAGCCCCCCTAGATCTGCCTGCTGTCTGCCCTTATTTGCAGTGATTGGGTGGAAACTTCCTTGGAACCTGTCTACTGCCTCCTACCTTGGTGGAAGTGTGCAGTCTGAAAGGCCTCCCATCAGAGGCCAAAATTCTGAATCTCTTGGGATCCCAGGAGGAGCCTAGTCTTGCTGCAGAGTTGCTGCTTGCCAGTGGCCTTTCTCCCTGGTCACTCCTCAGTAAGGATTAGATCAGTGTCCAGGGAACTATCACTTGCTCACCATACTGAATAACCTAGACCGGGTTAACAATTCTATAACCCCCTGAATATTGTAGAAATGATTGTGTACTGGGAGTAAGAGAAGGATGCATATGGGTTTTTCGGAGAGAGAGAGGCTATAACTGCCAACAAGTTCTTAATGAGAAGTGTGACCTCAAATATATTAATAACCACTGGTCCAGAATGTATACATTTATATTTGTTCTAAATAGGACAATATTTAATTTTAATATGAGATTAATAGTCATTGTAGAAATGTATGCATTAATTCATTTAATAAGTCTTTATTGAGCACCAATGGAAGGCATACAGTGGTAGGAAAAACAGACTAGGTGTTTGAATTCATGAAGTTCACCAATAGCAAGATATGTACATTAATCATACAATCACATAAGTGTATAAATAACTATAATTCCACATGAGTACAAAGAGTAATGGAACACAGGTATGTAAGAGTACATATTAGAAGATCAAGACACACTCTGAGGGATGAAGAGAGAGGACAGGGAGAACTTCCATAAGGAGGCAAATTTTGAGTTGAAATAAAGAAAAGTACCATTAAATAGGCAAAGGGACAATATAACTGTGTTGTAATCACACATTCCATCTGGAAGCAATGTAAAACTGTAATATCTCAGGTATTTTTATGTGTGAGTATGTGTGTGTGTGTGTGTGTGATGTTGGGGATTGAACACAGGTCTTGTGCATGCTAAGCATGTGCTCTACCACTAAGCTATACCCTTGGCCCCTTTTCAGGTATCTAAGAGGCATGACATGTCACCTACACAATCCAATTCAATAATCATATCTGAGCAATTTTCAATCAGTAGCACAGGAAACTGACTTGGAAAGTTTCCCTCTTACCACTTGAAACTCACAGAAATGATAGAATATGTACCTTCTCTAGAAACAGCTGTATAACCAAATTCATAATCATGAAATGGAAATCACCCAGAAACAAAAAAGGAGCTAAACAACGATGAGCTGGAGATAAAGACATACAGGTTTATATTGTCTTTAAGGACTTGGGGCCAAGGCTTATTCCACATGGAGAGAGGAGGCAATATTTCTAGCCTATGGAAAATGAGCAGTTAATACTGAAGAAGCTGTCTAAATCCAGATCCCACAGAGGTGTAATCAGCATGGAAATGATAACAAGATAGTTTTTCCTTTGCCAAAAATAAATGGCAAGAAAGCTTGTCTTTTATGAGAAGTCAAAGGTAGATAAAGAGTTCTGTGGGAGCAATTAGAACCCTCCTTTGGCATGGAATTGAAGTCACCAATCCTATGTGTTAAAGAACCAAAAAGACACTAGCATAAAAATTAATTTGGAACTAGTGAAACATCTGGCCTTAGCAGAGGCAAACACAAACAAGGAGAAAATTAGGTCATTTAAATATAGTAAGAAATCATCCAGAATGAAGTGCACAAAGATAAAATGGTGCAAATATGAATGAGAAGTTGAAAGACATGGCAGAAATTTAGTTTTAAAATACATGTGAAGGAATTACATAAAGAAAGCCTACAGACAATGAGGATGAGGAAACATTTGATGGGACTCTCAGAATTTTCAACTAAAGGAAGGAAAGAATCTTTATATTGAATACAGTGAGTTTTGAGCAAGATAAAGAAAAATAAAACTGTAACCAGATAAATATTTGTGTATACCTGGCACAACATTTTCATTTATTTAGGTCATAGGAAATCTAACATCTCTCCATAAACCATTCCTGATGTAAGGAATGGGGGAAATGGAAAATTAAGAAATATTTTGCAAGGGAAAAACAAAAACAGAAGCTTTTCTCTAAACATAATATTCTATCATCTAGGCACACATGTAAATGTGTATATATTTGCAATATCTAGTGCAATATTAAATCTTTATTTTAAGAATCAATAAGAGGACTGGGTTTGTGGCTCAGTGGTAAGAGTACTTGCCTAGCATGTGTGAGGCACTGGGTTTGATTCTCAGCACCACATATAAATGAATGAAAATAAAATAAATGTCCATCAACAACTTAAAAAAAAATATATATATATATATATATATTTTTTTTTAAAGGAGTCAATAAGAAACCATCTTCTAGAAGGGACACTATTAGAGAAAAGGAAGAGGATCAGGGGAAGACAGGAGAGCAGGGGAAGGGAGGGGTATGGGTATGTGAATATGATCAAAGTATTCTGCATACATGCATAAATATGCCACAGTGAAATCCATGATTCTGTATAATTAAAATGCACTAATAGAAAAGAAAGCATCTTCAAGAAAAGGAGAAAATGACATTCTCTTTTCAGGATTTCAGTCAAAAAGTACATGACAATGTTTAATAGTTTTGTGTGTCTGTCAATCCATCCCTTAGTAAATCACTGCATATTCTCTTCGTTCTTACTATTCAGAGGTTTCCTCTAGGAACATAAACAGTATGGGACCATTGGGAAATGGAAAGAGTATCAGCTGTTGGTCAGGCTACTGTCTCTACCAACTTTATTTGCTTGTACACTGGTTTGTCCTAGACAATAAATTCTGAGCTTAGTTCTTTTAAGCTATAACTAAGATAATGTGCTAATGTGAAATAGAGATTAGGAAAGGGTGGGGAAAACAGATTAAGCAAACAGATAAATTATGGGTAACAGTCTCAATATACTTTCTGAAAATCTTAAACCTACCACTTGCATAGGCCTCTCTAGGTATGTCTAGGAAAATACTATATGAAGCATAATGTGGATACAATGAAGAATAAACACAGACACATGAAAATGCTTTCAATCAAATCTCAGTTCTGCCTGTTTTTCAGAAGACTTTGAGTTGTCCTTTCTCCAAATTTCTCTTACTTTTATATGTGACTATTCATATCTGGTGTCTGTGCATTTCAAAATGTGTATTATTTATATTATCTCCAACTGAAATAGAACTTTTGGAAGAGTCAGTTATTATCTTCAGCAAAAAAGTAATAATAACACTAAAAAGAAACAATTCAAGCAAAACAATTATTTCACAAAACATGACTTTCACATTTTAAATCACTATCCAATTAAATGAAAGAAGGAATTCCATTGTTGAGAATTGAATAAGTAGCAAGGAAGATCATGTGAAAATCTAAAGAATAAATGAAAATTATGAAGAAAAAGATTTTTTAAAGTTGGAGGACTGCTCCAAATGACCCAACAAATAAATGAATTCCTAGAATGAGAAAAAGCAACAGATTAAAGAGAAGTAAAGAAATAATAAAGAAATTCCCCCTAATCTAAATAAAGTCTTATGGCTACAGAGTGAAAGCATATGCCAAGTACCAGACAGGATTATGAAAAAAGGTCAAAGTACACTCATAAAATTAATAAGTCCAATGATAGGGATTAGTACAAAAACATACCTATAAAGGAAAAATAAAATTTTTATTTGCCATTCTAGAGGCAAGAAACCATTGAAATAACGTCTACACAAGGCTATGATAAAAATACTAACATCCATAAAGTGTGCCCAGCCAAGTCAGTCTTCACAAATCAAAGTAGATTAAAATATATTTGAAATGCAAAGATTCAGAGAGACTATAATCCAATCTAAACTATCATGTAGCATTTATTTAGCACTTACTACTTGCCAGGTACTCCTCTAAGCACTATATATCTTATTTAACACTCTCATGTTACACATGAAGAAATAGAGATACACAGTGATTAATAATTTCCCCAGGAGCATACAGTTTTTAAATAAATAACTTTTAACTCAATAACTAATTCGAAGACCAAAAATTGAACTGCTATATACTAAATGCTACTTAGAGTTTGTGTAAACATTTCTAAAGTTTTCCTGTTTTTGGATTCAGGGGACAGTGAGAAAACAGGGTGCCTCTGTGGGAAGCACGATCATCTCACTTGGATTCAATAGTAGAGAAATACTGCTTGATTTTGAGTGTCAGCACTTACGGACTGAAATGTGCAGAAAAGCACAGTAGGCTTGCCAAATAAACAGTATGACAAATGTGTAAGAACAGAAATTTGAATAAGCTAAAATAAGAGAAAGTAAAAAGAGGCTAATATAACCAATAGTACAAAATAATAAAAATCAAAATAAAATGAAAAAAAATAAAGTTAACAGTATTAACTAAATGTAAAGGCACAGATCATGATACTAAGTTAAAAATTAAATTCAATTATGTGTGATTTACAAGAAACACTCCCACAATACAACAACAAAGAAAGGTTAAAACAAGGCACTGGATAAGACATCAGGCATATGGAAATAAAAAGAAAACAGGATTGGAAATAGTCATATAAAACGAAATGGAATCTAAATCTAAGTAGAAGGAAAGGGCTCTAAAAACACAATTTAAATCATGGTATGAATCAGGCTGGATGGCTCATGACTGTAGTCCCAGCTACTCCAAAGACTGAGGCAAAAGGATCACTTAAACCCAGGAGTTTAAGGCCAGCCTGGGCAACATGGCAGGCACTCTCACAAACAACAACAACAACAACAACAAAACATTGTATGTATGAATGACAAATGGCACAACTTAAGAAGAACTTATAATAGTTCTAATCTTGCATGTACCAAACAGCATTACAACTAAACACATAAAGCAAAATCCATTTAAATTTATAAGAAGAATTTTAATATACATCAATCAGAATTTGACCAATCCAGTAGATGAAAAAGTAATCAAAAACAGAGAGGGTATAAATAATTAAAAATTTTAACTCAAAAGATAGAAATTTGCTTTATTTAAGGAGATAATTGAATTTTTTATTGTTTATGAAACTTTAAAAAATTAATCATGACATTCACAACATAAAAGTACATTAATATATTCTAAAAAGGAGTGAAAGTATAGGCATATACTTTTATCTTAACAAAATAAAATTAGAAATAGTTATCAAAGATGATCATAAAAGGTAACTGCCTGATGATATAGTATGGTTCTCAATAGCCCTTGGTCAAAGAGGAAATTAAAAATAAAAGTTCAAGCTATGTGGAAAACAAAGGAAAAGGATAATACTTTATGTCAAGATTTATAAGACATGGCTAAAGCTGTACTCAATGAAAAATATATAATCTTAATGATCATTATTTTTCAATTAGACCATAAACAAAGGGAATAAACAATCTTCTTGAAGAGTTATAAAAGTACAAGAGAACAAACCCAGAGAGAGTAGAAGAAATTAGTGATATTTTAATTTAAAATAATGACTATAAAACAATTGCAGAAGTGATAAATAAAACAGCTCATTCTTTGAAAAGATAATAAAATTGATAGAATCTTTATACATATGACTAGTAAAACCAAGGAAAGAAAAAGGATATAAATCATCAGTAATAAAGGGTAGAACCATATAAATAGATGTGATTAAAATAATTATAATTTTTTCAGACAAATCTATGATATCAAATTTGAAAATCTAAAGATAATGTATGATTTCCTAACAAAGCAGAAATTATCAAATTAACCCAAGAAATAGAAAAATTGACTCAACCAATCATTACAAGTAAGATTGGAAATGTGGTTATAGACTACCATTAAAGAAGGAACCAGGAGCACAAAATTTCAAATTTTAGTTCTATCTAACCTTTAAAGAGAGATAATACTAATATTATTTAAACTCAGCAGGAAAAGACAGGGAAAATTTGAACATTCACTAATGAATTGTATGGAGCTAGCAAACCTAAGACCAAAACCAGTAAAAAAAATGATACACACAAAAAAATAAACAAATATAAATAGCAAATATAAAAAGACAAAATAAAATATTTTTGAAAGTATAAAACATACAAACAAATAGAACCTAGAAATATGGCAAGAAAAAAATTATACTATGACTTGATAGGGATTGATTCACAAAGGCAAAATAGTAAAACACCAGAAATTCTATCAATATAATTCATTACATTAAAAAGTTAATGTAGAAAAAAATATATGATCTTGTCAATAGATATTGAAAAGCCATTAGATAAAAAAAATCTGTAGCTTATCCTAATATATACTAATAGAAACAGAATGGAATAACTTAAATATTGAAAGAACCTTTACCCAACAATCAGCAGCAACCCTCATTCTAACCATGAAAAGTCAAAGTCATTTCCATTAAAAGCAGGACAAGTCAATGTTGCCCACAACCTCCACTTTTATTCAACAGTAATTTTTGAGATTATAGCTATTGTAATAATAAAATAATTAGCATAAAATTATGGAAAGATAAAAATAATTTCTTCTAACAATTGATACGATTGTATTCATCTAAAACACAAGGGACTATTTAAAATTAGAAAATGAATGAGCAAATTATAAGAAGTGTTGGGACATAAGACAAACAACAAAAAACTAATAGCTTTCTTCTGGTCTTGCAAGGTTTTGGAGAGTATAACACTGTAGCACTCGTGAGCTAACATTGTTCTTTTATTTCTTTTGCTTAAAAGGATATGAATTACTAGTGAGTGGGATATCAAGCCAGCCCATGGATTAACTCCATCAATTGCTAGTCCAATCAATTATCTGAATGTCAACGTCCCTTCAATATTTATTTCATTTTTTAATTATATGAATTTCTCCACTGGTACCCAAATCTGTTTTATAGATTTAAATCTCATCCACTTTTTAAATAAAAATGCTAATTTATTTTTTATGTGTCTACCAAAATGTCTAATTCATAGTGCTCAAGCCTTCTAGATCTGATAGTTCATTCCATACCTCAAAAAAGACCAATTTCTTATCTGTGGTTCCAAGGCACAATTGACAATATTCATATAACCCTCCTATTTGGAAGACTGTATTAACCAGCAGACATTCAAATGCTCAAATACACAAATTATATCTTTCATTGTCACATGTCCCAGGAAACATGAAGATTGCTTTCAGTGATGTGTTGTCACTAAGCTATCCATTAAACTACCTTTTACAAATTATGGCATTTTCATAGCCCAAAGTGCATTTCATTTATCCACTTGGTATTTTAATAACTGTAATAAATGCATAGCACAGCGGATTATGGGGATTGCTACAAAGCACTATTAATTCCATCTTTTATAAAACAGATTCTGTCATACAGAACTTCACTAACAGTACTCAGCGCATTATACCTCAAAGATAACAAACAGAACAATGTTTTCATTTACAAAGAATAATAATATTTTGTAAATAACTCATGGCTTATGGCATATGAAAAGTCCTGCAGAAAGTGTAGGAGAGGATGACACATTCAATGTTTGGGACTAGGAAAAAGAAGTAACATATATCTCTAATTGATGCTATAAAAAAGTATATAATAAAATCATTAGAAGAGGTATTCCTGTGTGCTTACACACACACACACACACACACACACACACACACACACACACCTTTTAAAAAACTTGAAAAAATATTTTAAAATACTTTTAAAATCTTAAGTGGGAAATACTTATCTAAGTATTAAAAACCTAGAAACTGTAAGGGGAAAAGCTGAGTGATATGACCACCTTAAAATGTAAATAATCTACAAAGAAAGACCCTATGAACAAAGTTAAGTGAGGTAAGAAATGCATGGAAAGATACACATAATAAATTGTTAGTGAAAAAAAAGTTGCAAAATATAAACTGTGAGTTCATATTATTTCTAAGAATGCATATATAATAATTATTTGTGTTTGTATACACAGAGAAATCATCTGACTGGTAATAGTAGGTAACTCTGTAAAGATGTTTGGGAAGAAGCCAATTTTTATATTTTACTCTCCATATTCCTCTTTTTTAGTTTTCAGTAAGCGGTGTTACTTTGAGAAGGACACAATATAAATCACTATAAAAAAATTAACTGTGGGGGCTGGGATTGTGGCTCAATGATAGCATGCTCACCTAGCATGCATGAGGCATTGGGTTCTAACCTCAGCACCACATTAAAAAAAAATAAAGACAATAAAGTCCATCAACAACTAAAAAATAAAATAAAATAAAAAATAAATAAATAAACTCTGAGTTCTGGTAAATCCCAAAACTGTCTCAGTGTGTAGTAAAATGCTTAATTTGGTGTAAAATCCTATCCTCTAATGTCCAGGAGTTATACCATCTTCTTTCCTCAATGCTAACTTTTCCCTAAGTTGAAGTAAGTATATCTGAAACTATAATCAGCAGTTAAAAACAGCTGAAAAACAATTCCAGGATCTTACTAATACTATATTATAAGATAATAATATCCAACAAAACAAATATGATTACACAGATCTGGTATATATTTATAAGCATTAACAAGTTATGACATTCATAATTAAAATGTTTACGATTATATCAAAGAAAAGCAAACAGAATTGATGGATTTCATAGCTGACATTGTACAATTTAATATCCATTTTTGACTATCTATTATATGGAATAACTTAAGAGGTAATGATTAATGATGATAAACAACAATTGATTATAAAAAATCATTTTCCAAGACATTTTGAATAGGCTAAAAAATTATAAAATATATTTTAGATTGTTTCTTTGAGTCAGTCTTCTGTATATTTCATCTTTTCTAATATCAAAAGATAATCCATTTGAATAATTTTAAATGATGGAAGAAAATTAAAATTTTTCTTTATTGGATTCATTTCATTAGGTCTGGATTTTCATTATAGCTTATTGAAAGAAGGCCACAAGAAATGAGCATGAACAAAGTTAAAATCCAATTTTAACAAACAGAAGAATGAAATTTGGAAAAATTAGAAGATGACAATTTTCCTCAGGTTTCAAAATTTTATAGCAATATATTATTTATAATTTCAAAAAATCCAGGAAAAGGGGAGACACATAGGGGGGAAGGCTTTGGAAATATTAAGGTCTTCTGACCTAAGAGTATATGTCTCTCAGGAAACAAAGGCGGAAAGTTCCACAACATTGGTCTGAGCAAAGATTTTTTGACAAGACCCCCAAAGTACAGGAAACAAAAGGAAAAATAGATAAAAGAAATATCAAACTAAAAGTTTTCTATACAGCAAAGGAAACATCCAACAGATTAAAAAGAAAAACCTACAATAGGGGAGAAAATATTTGCAAGCTATTCATCCAACAAGGGATTAATATGCAGGATATAAGAGGAACTCAAACAATGCAGCAGTAAAAAAATTAATAAGTTGATTCAAAAAGCAGACAAATAATCTGAATAGACATTTTTTTCAAAAGAAGACATAAAATAGCAAACAAGTATGTGAAAAACATTCAACATCACTAATTATCAGGAAAATTCAAATTAAAGCTATGAGATACTGCCTTATACCTATACTTGTTAGAATGAAAATTGTCAAAAAGATGAAAGATAAAAGTATTGACGAGGATGTGGAGAAAAGAGAATCTTTGCACACTGTGAAAATGTAAGTTAGCACAAAAATTTGGAAAACAGTATGTTCTTAAAAACCAAAAATAGAATCACTATATAATCCAGCAGTCACACTCCTGGGTAGACTACACATCTGAAGGAAATGCAATCAGTATTTCAAAGAGACACATACACATGCATATCCATTGCAACATTATTCAAAATAGTCAAGATATGGAAACAACCTAAGTACTCATTAACAGAAGAATGGATAGATAAAATGTGGTGTGTATACACAATGGAATAGTATTCAGCATTTAAAGAGAAGCAAATTCTGTCCATTGCAACAACATGAAGGAATCTACAGAATATTTTCCTTAGTGAAAGAAGTCAGGCACAGAAAAACAAAAATGTATCTCACAAGTGTAATATAAAAATGTCAAAATTATAGAAGTAGAGTGTGTGGAATGGTGGACTGAGAGGTATTGCAATAAACAGTAACTATCATTAATAATAATGTGATGTACATTTTAATATTGCTAAAAGAGTAGATTCTAATTGTTCTCACTACAACAAAATCATCAGTATGTGAATTAATGTACACATAAATTAGCCTACTTTAATTATTCCACAATGCAATACTTTCATGATTAATATTGTATCCCATAAATATATACTATTTGTCAACCAAAAATAAAATTAATTTTTTAAAGAGAGAATTTTTTTAATATTTATTTTTTAGTTTTTGGCGGTCACAACATCTTTGTTTGTATGTGGTGCTGAGGATCGAACCCAAGCTGCACACATGCCAAGCGAGCGCGCTACTGCTTGAGCCACATCCCCAGCCCATAAAATTAATTTTTAAAGAAGAATAAATTGCATTGCTTAACAAAAAGGAGTATACATCTCAAACTGTCTGATAACCAATTTGGTCATACATATTAATATTCATAAAAGTACCACCCACTGATGCTCTGCTTCTATTATAGGAGCATCTAAGTAGACAAAAGATACCACTATATCAGAGAAGTATTGTATTTCAGCAACAAGTCAGTTCTCATAGCAGAGAAGGACACACCAGGATCTCTTACTTTGTCAGTATCAGCATCTATCTAAATTGGCTAAGTTCCCTGAGCACTAAGAAAAAAACCTTCTATGACAATTTGGATTCTGATGTAAATGGATCTTAGGGAGGGAATGTTCTAAAAACCAAACACTAAGAATCTGATCTGCTTGATAAATCTATTTCTTACAGAACCATAAATCATCATCAATAAGAAACCCCATTTCATTTGATAGCATGTTATGTCCTCCAGAAGCTTAGAAAGGCTCAATAATTGAGGAGGCTCTGTGCCCAAACAAAGCCCCTCCTGTAACAGCTCCTCTCACTTTTTAAGATGTTAATGGTCAACAGGGTCAGAGAGTGACACTTAGCCCACTCTCAATGAGAAGTGGAATTACATTTGCATGAATCTGTCAGGATAAAGGTATCTCTGCAGTGGGTCTTCCTTCTCTCCCTTCCCCTCTACCTCCTATTCCTCTCCTCAAACACACACATTGCCCCAAGCCCTTAACACAAGGCCTGAGAAGGCCCCAATGCAGAAGGTGAAGCATGGAGGTACACTACTCTGTCAAGTCAATATCCCTTATCCTTCTTATACCACAACCTCAGGCAAAGCACGCCAGGACTCCATAAAAGCCCAGAGACAGCTCTAGGTAAAAGGTAAGGAGAGTCAGAGTTTAAACACAGAAAACTTGCAGCCTGGGATGTGATGTAAACTTAATGCAAAAAGCTAGCAATGAAAATAGTCATTATCACTATTTTAAAAGCCATTCTCAAGGGAACAAAGCAAAACCAAAGAGAGTCATACATATAAAATTTGCCTGAATCACATCAATTTGCCAAATCTACACTTGGAATCTCTTTTGAAACAAGGCAGGTAAAATATGAACATTCAAAAAAGACAGCCTGTTTCCTGAGCCTTGAAATATTATTATTTGGGTTACAATTTATAACGAACAGAAATACATCCTTGTAAAATTGCCTTCGGACATATTTTGGACTGAAATAGACCCTCGAACTGCTAGATGAGAAGAAACCAAAATAGCAGATATGCAATGAGCTTCCAGTATTGTCTCTAAAGGGGGCGGGGGGGGCACTGCCTCCTCCCTGTCCCCATGAGCTGCCACAATCACAGTCACAATTCTAGAACTCTGTCCTTCCCAAAATAATTGAGTGACAACCTCTTAAGTGAAACATTAGGACAACTGGGTGTCCTGCCCCACATCTCTTTCACCCAGCACTTTCCCAAAGAGCAAGTTTCTTAGTCTAGATCATAGTAGGCGTGGGACAGCAAAAGTACATGCAAACCACTGAGAGGGCTACCAAACTAAGACTAGTTCCTTCTCAGTCTCTGTTCTGTTCAACAAGGGTTCCAAAAGTCTTGGCATCCAGTCACACCCAGGGTCACCTTATGAAATGGCAGTTATTATTCTCTATTAAATGCCCACTGGCACATGGCATGGTGCCATGGAAATTAAGTGGTCACCCCAAAAGACACAGAAGCACAGAGAGAATACCAACAACTGTCTCCTAGGAGGAGGAAACACAGACAAAACAAGGGAGAGAGAGCAAAGAAGAATGAAAAGGAACATGGAGGGAGAGAAAAGGAGTAGATTGACAAACTCAGGCATGTGCCTGTCACACTGTGGCTTTCTATTCCACGAATTAACCTCGCCTTCACCCCTAGCAAAAACTTGGTGCCTCAAGTTCAATAAGGATTGATCTGAATATTTTTCAGGCGTTCAAGCTATATATTGGTTAGGAGACAGTTTACACTCATTGTGTCTATGTTCTCAAGCATCACCAATGAATATTTATTTTTTATATGAAAAAATTTAAATCAGGACCAGAAATTTTACATACAGTAAAACCAATCTTATGTAAAGAATATATAAGTCTTTGGATAATAAAAGTATGTGAAAGGTTATACATTGTTTTAATTCTGTTCCTCTCTCCAGTTATCACAGCCCCTTACACAGTTCTTTTTGCAGCCTTCTGCTCTTTGTACCTTCTCTATGGGGGATCCTATCTACTCCATGTTCCCAATTATCACCTCTCTCTAATGATTCTCAAATACTAAATTGTAACCCATTCTTCTCCTCTGAAAGCCAGATCAACACATTCAAATTAAAATATGGCATCTTTATCTGAATGTCACTCAGATACCTCAAACTCAATTTATCTAAAATGGCTTCTCTACTGGCCCCAATCTTTTCCTCTCATATAATAATTGTACCATGAAGCTGGGTGTATGGTGATGCAAGCCTATAATCTCAGTGGCTCAGAGGCTGAGGTAGGAGGATCACAATTTCAAAGCCAGCCTTGGCAACTTAGGGAAGCCCTAAGCAAATTAGCATGACCCTGTCTCAAAACAGAATTTTTTTATAATTATTATTTTTTAAAAAAGTAGCTGAGGATGTGGCTTCATAATTAAGTGCTCCTGTGTTGAAAAACAAACAAACAAACAATAGGAGCTAGAAAAGTGTTCATTCCCTTTTCCCTTACCCCACCCTTAAAACTGGTATCAAGAGAAGCTATATGTATGTGATTTGGTGGGGTCACCATATCCAACAATTTTAAGCCAACTAGTCCCTGGTCCTTTCATCTACTATAGACATTAGAGTGCACATATGGAAACCTGGAGCTAAAACTGGATCACAACCAAAGAATTTCACCCTTTCCTGGTCTCATATATAAAGCAGGATAGTATCCCCAAGCCAACTAGGAATATATTATGGAGGCTGGTGAAATCATGTCTGAGGAAACACCTTGAGTCCTTAGAAAAAAGCAAAAACTTTTTTCCTTTGAGAAGTTATTTTAACAGTTGCCTTGCATGAATGACAGAACTCTACACAGTAATCACTTAATAAATGTTAACCTTTATTGTTATTGTTTATTAAATGACACTGAAACATGGCAGAATGCCCCAGCAAAACAAAGGTCAACCAAAAACTATCAGTCCTGCATGTTAGGTACTTAAGGGTACTCACTTTTCTTAACTGCTATGTGCCAGAGTAGTGTAGGTACTTAGCATATATTATCATTTCATTTAATCCTCATGATAAGCCTCATTTTCACCACTCATCTATCATTTTGGAAAGGAAACTGCAACCAATCACATTTTCAGTCTAAATCATTTGCACACTCAGTACACATTCAAATCAATCGCCTGCTTCATTCCCAACACTTTCCTTTTTTTCAAAAATTTTCTAAAAATTAATATTCATTTTATTTTAAAAAGAATAGATGAATAAAAAGTTAAAAAAAAGTAAAGATCACTCATTATCCTTCCACCCAAAGATAACTATTGTTACTATTTGGAAATATACGATTCCAGAGATTTTAGTGTGTTTTTAAAGCATGATTTAATATCCCCCTCACCCCAGCAAAATGGAATGAATACTGCTATCTAACTTATCTTTCTCACTTAACAATGAATGATGAATATCTTTTCTGGAAAAATAGTATTCCACTAGCATATTTATCATATCCTACTGGGTGACCATTCCTTAATTTATTTGAAGAATCCAGTGTGACAAACATATTGTCTCCAATTTTTACTACCTTAAACTGTTGAAATGAACATCCTTATACATGTAATCTTTGGACAATTATTCAATCACTAACTTTGGATAAATGATTTACTTATTTTAAGGCTTATGATATGAATTACCAAACGGCCACCACTAGGATTTGTTAGGGTCCGTTTTGTCATACCCTCACTGACACTGCACAGGAGAGAGGGGTTCATTTATGTGGATTCCAATATTTTTTTAGCCAAAATTATTTAGTGGTTCTCAGTGTCCAGTGAGATAAAATTGAAACAGCTTTCTACAACTGTCTTCACCTAACTTTCCTCATTTATTCACTCCTATTGCCCATGCTGTCCACTGCAAGCAGGATGCTCTCCGACTATCATAGGAAGAAGGTTCCTACCTCAATGCCTTTCTCACACCATTCTCTCCTGGATTCTGTAACATCTTAACCACCATACCCTATCCAGGGCTCATTTACAAATCCATCTCCTCCATGAAACTTTAGCTGACTGGCATATCCCACAGAATCCTTTGCCTCCTCTGTGCTCTGAGGGCACACATCTGACAATGAGTGTCTGCTCTGGATATCCTCAGTTATCTTTTGGTTTGTATGTTTCTTATCTCTCCAACTAGATTATAAACCAAAGGACAAGAATCATTTCTTTCTTTCTTCTTTCTTTTTTCTTTCCAGCATTAACACATAACTTTATTGATGATACACAAATGAAATCATTGCATATGACCAAAAGGAGCTTACTCATGACGAATTGGTTCACTGTCACTTACGTAGAGGAAATAGTAAAAAATACTTCAATCTAGGCAGCGAGATAAAAAGCAACAAACATGTTTTCAGAACAAGTAGTGATATTCATTTATCCAGCTTAAACCTGAAGACCAACTTGGTTAAATATCAGCATTGATGATACAATATGGTATTCGTTAAAATTGGCAGCTGAAAGGATTCCTTTACCATATAAACAAGGTGGAGAAAAGGAATAGTTTACAATGTGTGTTGCTTCTAAACTACAAAGTCAAGAAATTATTCCTGGCTCTTTGGGAACATATGCTCAGTCAGTTTGGCCATGAATTTTCCAACTTTTACTTTCACCAAAAAATCATGATGACTTTCTATTCCCAGAACCTTATCAGCACACACTTGAAATTCTTTTAAAAAGAAAAATAGTGACCCTTCACCAAATTGAATCTGAGTAGATTCATTTTCTTCCCATTTAAAATTGTCATTTACATTCTCAAGAATGACCAGAAGTTTAAGAATAACCTCTTTGTTCTCTTTCTTATTAAAGAGGGAACCTAGTGAAGATGGCACTTGGGCCCTGAGCAATTCTCTAGTCATAGCTGGATTTTCAGCCAAATTCAAAAGGAGTTTCAAAACCTGAAGTTTAGTTTCTTCATTTCCCGCTGAAAATAAACGGAAAAAATCCGAAATGGAATTAGCAAGCATGTGCTGATACTCATTAGTAACAGTCATATTCGTAAGCAATCTTAGTCCAGCCAGCTGCACAGATGAGTTCAAGCGAGAAGTGATTGTGTCATCACACACTTGATTCATGTATATCTTAAGCCTGCGCTGATTTTCAGTATTCACACTCAAGTTATTTAGGACAATTAAAGCCTTTTCCTTAACGATGGGATCCCGAGTATTAAGAATCTTTGCAACAATTGGGAGACCACCCAGATCACGAATAATATCTCTGTTAAATGCATAAGCAGCATTGTTACCCAGAGCAATTAAAGCTGCTTCAAGAATATAAGGCTTTTCAGACATCTCAACCAAACAAAGAACTTTTTGTAGCTCTTGAGGGGACAAAACAGTATCATCTGAATTAGGGGAAGCCCGTTTCTGGACAGCTCGACGTGCTCGGGTAGCCCTGGCCCTTGCCCTGGCTCTAGCTCTGGTTCCAGCCTCTGTCCCAATCCGGGCCCAAGGTGGGTACCACACTATACTCTTGCTCTCATTACTATCATCATCATCATCAGACCAGTCATTATACCTGGCCCCAGAACAGTCCCCAGAATCATCCACATCCCCAGAGCCACCCTCTGCCATTTTCTCCTTGCTCTGTTTTCTTCCCCGGGTCAGTCTATAAATGCAATAGCAGGCGCCAGCCCCAATCACCAGGCCTGCAGTCACCCAGCCTACTTTCCTGGCGTAGCCCATGCAATCGTCCCTGACAACAGCAGGGACCAAGGAACAGAGTAGTCACTCAGGGTAGGGAAAGAGGGTTGTGGGCCTGAGAGCAGGTCTGTAGAGGGTGATCTTCTGTCACTTCAAGACCACAATATCTGATTCTGGAGGTGGACCTGGAGGTGGAAGAAAGAAACAGAGTTTCAATTTCTCTTCTCTTTTTGTTGTCCCATGCAAAAAGTTGCACAGAGGAACAGAAGAATGGCAATTGAATGCTTGGTAGGGAATATAGATCATTGACAAAATCTCTACCCACCTCATTATACTGTCTCCCTAACCCCTGCCAGCCCACCCTACCCCAAGTGTAGATAAAGGCAATGAGTCCACAGATTCGGCTGGGGTGTCAGTCACCACAATCTCTGGTATCTCCAGGAAGTAGCACCCTTGAACTAACCTCTTTGAAATAGGCAGTTTGCTCCTTTTTCTCTTGGCTGGGAGTGTGTGCCACGCCCAATAATCTTTCAATCTGCGGAGAGACCAGAGCCAGTAAGAAACGAAGGCTTGAAGGATTGTGCATTTGTCGCTTTCCTAAATCACCATCCAGGTTACCAGATATTTTTTAACGTCACTATGCTATCCAAAACATGAAAATGCCTCCCCCTCCCTAGCTTAAAACGCAGGGATGTAAGAAAAATAAAGTAGAATTGGGTGAGCCTGTCCAAGCCGCGGCAGATTTCCAACCCCTCCCCCATTCCAGACAGCCCCCACGCCCACACCGACCTCTACCGATCCTGGGAAACTTCCTCCCTAGCTTCAAACGGTGCCACCTGCTACAGCAGACCTGCAGGATGACAGATCGAAAACATGGGGACTAAGTGCTGTTGAGAGAGAAGGATTATGAGCAAACTACATGATAGGTTTCCTTGCTGTCATTTCCCCCTTTCCCCCTCCCTCCCGCGCGCGCACACACACACACACACACACACACA